CCTCCAAAATGCCAAATTAATTAAAAATCCTTTCAAACTGACCACATCAGGACATTAGAAATATACAAGGTCTGCCTAAATGGCAATTGTATTAATTTTAAAGATAGAAAAAGCATCTTGTATGTATGACAATGCCATTATGAAAAACCAGGAAATATCGATATAAATTAATACAGTAGAACCTCGATTATCCGGACTAATTGGGGATGAAGGTAGTCCGGATAAGGGAAAATCCGGATAATCGAAAATCCGGATAATGGAAGTCCGGATAATCGAGGTTCTACTGTAATTATTATTTTGTAATAACTAATTTATATCAGTTATGTATTATATGTATATCGGATTTAATTTTATAATTCTTAAAAATACCACTAATTTTGTATATTTATATGTTTGATTTACATCTTTATATTTCACATTCTAATTATTTAAAAGCAAGTTTAAAAAATTTTTGAATACTTGTGTTCTGAGCATTCCAATTTAGAATTGTAATGTTGACCTGATGCAGATCTTGTTTAAGATCAAAAACGTTCAAGTTCCACAATAAATTTTGTTATTGGATGTCAAGGTTTTGTTGATTGTGCTTTGTAATTCGTTCCAGTTACTAATAAGGTAATTTGTATACTAACTCCTTTAATAATGTCAAAAAAGACAAATATAGGCATCCAAACCTGATATTTATACATTAAAGCAAAACAACTGCTGAATTATATTTGGCTATATTATTACTACTATTATTAATTAAATTCTAAATAATTTGTCACTAGAGGCAGACATTATACTACCCAGACCTTCATCTGGTCCTTGTTTCCAGAAGAGAGGATCATACAAAGGTTTGGATAGCATAAACTGGCAATATGACTGCATGTAAGAGAGAGTTGTGGATTTGAGTCCCACTTTGAATCACTTTTTTTCTTACAGAACCTTCTAACTTAATTATTAAATATTAATTTAAATTATAATTATTAACTTTAGCAAGAGATGGTACCTAACACCTGCCTCTCGTGCCAAATTATTTACCATTTAATTAATAATAGTAGTAGTAACATAGCCTGATATAATTCAGCAATCATTTGGCTTTAATATGTCAAAAAGAGACATTTCAGGACCTTTACAAAAATCTCCTGGTATAAGAGGTAGACTTTCCTTATTTCACACCAAACTGAATAAGAAAAATCTACTTCAGACGTATAAATATAAACATGTATTTTGTGAATTAACATAATGCATAATTATGATAATTGAACAAAATTACCATTATACTAAATTGAACTAATCTAACTTCATTAATTCTAATACATATCCAACAATACATATTTTTGATTACATATTATACTGGATATTGAATTTATTTAGATTTATTTTGTTATTTTTAAAAGTATTAAAATTGGTATTTTTCTTCAATTTCTTTTCAAGAGAATATTTGAATAAGAAAATAAAAAAAATATTTTTGAATAACAAAGATTATATTTTTGTTATATATTTATATCATTATAGTATAAAAAAAAATATAATCCTTAGGAGCAATTTTCCCTCGTACATCACTTCAAATGAATTAAGTCAGTAAACAGTTATTAATTATTTAATATTAGTAATATTTTATTCTAATTATTTTTGTTTATTAATTTAATTATTACTCTAATAATTTAAGAACTAAAACAACTTATTTATAAAAAAAATTGATGTTCAAAGTACAGTCGACCCCCTATAATTACGGTCCCTATAATTACGATTCCTATAAAACTACGAAAAAATATACATATTTTGGAAATGTTGAGTCGGATTAGTGTAGAATCGATTAATTTTATGGAAGAAAACCTTTCAATCAGCCGTAGTCCGTAAACTTGACACGTGTCGGGCTGTGATTGGAACGACTTGTAAGAAATCGGATTTCTTATAAATTGGAACGTATCTATATCTTATAGGGGGGTCGACTGTAAAATAGTTTTGCCAGCTTCTAAAGCCATCTCTATTAGAAAAGCTGAAAAGTCATTGAGAGCATTATCCAAAAAAATCAGTGATTAACACCTTAGTTCCAATAAAATTAAAATCTCAAACTAATGTTAAAGCAGATAGATATTAACTTCTGATTAACTTTTCCAGAGGCTCTTTGCTTTATCAAACTTTTATTTTGTGTTCAGTTGTTTCTTTCTAATTAAAATGATGATTAAAATTTTAACAGTTCTTTTCCAGTTAAAACACGTGTCAAAAAGTTTCTGCATAATATTTTGCTAATACACCAAATTCCCAATTATCTGTGCAAAGATGTGCATAAAAAACCAGAAACACAAATAAAAAATAGCCCTCTAAATTATAATAAACTATTTAAAGATTTTAAATGAACTGCAGTGTATGTACAGCTAAACTCCATTATAATATGATGCAAGATTCCTTAAGCTGAAATGTTTATTTAGTCAATAAACATAAAATGTAGACTACTTCTGTTTTGAAAAACATTATGAAAAAATTTAAATTTTACATCTTTATGTATAATTCTTAAAATTTTTCCAAATTACTGTATTTTAAATTTTAAGGCTAGTATGATATTTTTTTTCAAGTCTGCTTTTTATATCATCAAGTTTATTTACTGCAAAATAATATTCCATGACTAATGACTCACCTCACTTCTGTCCGTTAGAATTGACAGATAAGAAAGAAATAAAAGCTGAATATTGTTAATATAATTCTGTCATTTCATAATAATTCTAAAATTTTGACAATGTATGGATAATCTACAAAATGAATAATCAGGAGTTTGATATTTATATACTCAGATATGGTGGTTGTTATTTTCTAAATGCGACAGCATCCAAGTTTAAAAATTATTATATATAGTAATTTATTCTGATGCATATTCTAAATGAAAAAGAACTGTTAAAATATAAAATAAATAATTTAATACTCTAATTAGAAAGGAACAAATAGAATACAAAGTAACAATTTAAAGAAGAAAGAAATGTTTTAAAAAGTTAATCATATGTTAATACAGTAGTTTCTTGCTAATTTGGCATAGAGGGATGCCAAATTAGCAAGAGTGCCATATTATTGAGTGTATAGGCTAAAAAAAATCAATGACAACTTTTGTCATACTTTGATACCGATTATTTTTGGCAATAATACAAAATGCTGGATGCTGACATGCATCACTAAGCAAAAACATAAAATAGGAAAATAGGATCTGTGACATGGTTAACATTTTCATGAAAACAGAAGTGCAATAAAACTGGAGGATAAACCAGATTAATGAGTGTCTGTCTACGTATCTGATCCTTTTAATGTAAGTTTGAGAATTTTAAATTTATTTGTTATTCTTGTTTAATTTTTATACCAGAAGTCTGTTAAAATTGGTATTTATTTTATAGATGAAAATAACTTTAACACATTTCTTATAAAAAATATCAGAACAGAATATTGTTTTAAAAGTTAATTTTAATGAGAAAAAACACATTCTAATTTTAGTTTATTCTGTAATAGATGTTTCTTATAGTTCATAAATTTGTTGTGACTTGAAGATATGGTCAATGCAGTCTCAAAAATATTAATCTTATATTTCAAGCTGATATTTCCTGTAGACTTATATTTATTACTTTAAGTGCATAATAATACCAATAGAGGATAGCAAACCAGGTAAGTGGATTAGAGTGCATGCCCATGATAAACGGTAAAACAAGATAAGGAACTGTGGAATTTTTCAAGAAAAATGCCTCCACTTAAGCATTTACCACTGACATATTAAATACAGTAATGAAAGAACAGTTCTTCTGGACTGTAGACTATGAAAAAGTAAATCACATACTCTGAATTGATTATGGTGTGCACATAAACAAAACAAACATTTTCGTTACAAAGCCTGATGAAGAACTCAAATGGAGTTCAAAAACTTTATTATGCAATTCTGTGATTTTAACTCGTTCTATACTTCCTTGACCTTGGCTGTGTCTAGGTTTGCCATTAACCATTTTGAATCAAACAATCAACAAATTTAGTTGATAGAATCAATCATCAATCAATTAAAAAAACTGTAATACAAAAATCAAACAGTTTAAAATATTATTACAATTAGGGAAATGAATTTACAAAACATATGATAAAATTGTGCTTACTTATTAGTGCAATCTAAAGATTGGTGACACTTTGAATTACATAGCAATTGGTTTTTGCGACAAGCACACCTATTTGTGGTACATTTAGATTTGCAGTCACATTTTCTGAAACCTTACCCAGTAACAAGGGACTGTTTTATTGCTGTTTGACAAAGATATTTCTACAGCAGGGATATCTTCTTTCGTTAACAATCTCTCTTTGCAAACATTGAATTCAGATTTTGAATACAATTGTTTTAAGATACCCGTTTTAGTACCAAGTTTATAAAAGCCATCCTCTGTTTTACTAAGAACCACAGCTAAAATTGAGCATGCATCAGTTTTTGCTCTGTCTTCTTCGGGTACTTTAATTCTCACAGTGACATCTTCATCGACATTTGGGTGCTTTGCATTAGAAACTGCTAACATTTTCTTTGCTTGCTTTTCTAAACATTTCTTGGCTTCATCACGCTGTATTTTCTGATCCATATTCTTTTTACAGATGATGCACAATACATTCTTACCATACCCTTCCTCTTTAGGATCTACTTCACCACAAACTGCACGAACAAACATATTACACGATTTACACTTGTGAGCACTTGATGCTGCTTTTGAGCAAACAATACAGCCTATGTCTTGTATAGTGCTCTTTACAGGCTCCGTACGAAACTGTGATGGCTATTCTGCTGAAGTTGAGGGTAACTCAGTGATGACTTCTTCAACTTGCAGAGGTGATTCCTTGGAGGTGCAGGGTAACTGAATATTCTTCATAACTGAATATTTCTCAAACAACGGGGTAGGAGGCAATTTAAGATTACTATCGATAAATTCTTGTATTTCTGTAGGTGATTCTGTAGAAGCAGGGGATAACGGAATGTCATCTTGAGTAAGATTTGACTGTGATCCCATAATAACATTCTCTTGTAAATCTTCTAATTTTTCAAGGTCTTCTTCAGTATTTATTGAATGTAATACACTTTGTGGTATAATAGCAGAAGACAATCCCACTTTTGCGGGGCAACCGAACATGGCTTCGTATGGACTTTTTTTAATTGCAGAATGATAGGCACGATTCTTCATGAATTGTACAAATCGTACACCCTCACTCCACTTGTTAGTTTGATTATCAGTCATCCAAGTAGTTAGCATGTTTTCAATGTCTTGACTTGCTCGTTCTACACTTCCTTGACCTTGGCTGTGTCTAGGTTTGCCATTAACCATTTTGATTTCTGGCCACAACTGTGTTACACATTCTAAGATTTTATTACAAAATTCACGTCCATTATCAGAATGCAAAATACTTGGAGCACCAAAAAGGAGAAAAATATCAAGCAAGTTATAGGCTACTTCATCAGCCTGTTTTGATGTAAGCGGCTTTAATACAACAAATTTTGTTAAGTGATCTTGGTATACGAGAAGAAACTTAAACTTTCCATCTGGTTGAGATTCGTAATCGATGAGATCTACCTGGCATCTGCTATTGAAATGTGATGAAATAATCGGCTTTACAACAAGCCCTTTTTTCGCACTTTTTTGTTTTTGTTGACAAGGTTCGCATAAATCCAAAAACATTTTTATTTGGGCTTGGGTTATGTTTTTATAAAATGTTTTTAATTCCTTTATCATTCTGTCTCTTCCACCGTGGCCAATTGACAAATGAGTCGAATACAATATGTCAAACAATTCTTCGGCATGGACAAACCTTTTCACACTTTCTCGCACATCTGACAACGGCTCGATGAGTTTTTCACAGCCATGTACAGTCAACACATCATACCTTTGAATTATTCGATAATCTCGAGATGATTCTTTCTTCTTGGAAAGTTTTATTCGCTTTACATCTTCAATTATGGAATCATACTTTCGTTTTGTCATTAAAACACTATTATATTTTGAATCTTCGCTAAAGAGATTTGCAAAGAATCTTTTCTTCATTTTATTCACCAATTCAGTGCTTGCTTGCATACTAGGAGTTAAATTTATCTGTTTAAAAAAAAAAAATCCTGTCACAAATTCATGCGCTAACAAGCAGAAATGAATTTGAAAACAGAATTAGCTATGCGATGCACTGGCAGCCGATGCAAATTATGAGAAATAAAAACAACTGGCGACGACAAGACGCAGGCGAAAACCAAATTGAAAGTGGGGGGAGAGAGAGGAGGAGTAGGGAAAGGAAATGAGAGAAACAAACTTTTGAACTTTAACGATACAGAAGCCGTTAATGTGCAGATTATCTAGGTAAAATGTGGAAAACTCTTAATTCCACACATTCATGGATCACCCTAGTTAATCTGGAGATTAGCTAGGTAATGTACACATTAAAGGCTTTTGAGCTTTAGTGGTAACATATACATATATACATACATTTATATATATATATATATATATGTGTGTGTGTGTGTGTGTGTTATACAGTAAATACTACTTTCTGTTTTCTGTTTATATATACATATAAACACAAAAATAAAAATTATTAAGTTAAAACCATTAATTGCATCATCATTTTAAGAATCATACCTTTAAATTAAAATAATAATCCAATAAAATTCCTATACTGTAAATTTTCAGTCAAGCTTTTCAATATATTGAGAAGGAAACAGCCAGTGAACATGATCTAGTAGATTCCTTGACTGTAATTTTTCTGTAAAATATATTTTAATTAATTTTTGAAAAAGGAATAAATATAAATTTAGAAAATTATATTATGTACATGAAAACACAAAATTAAATTTATTAATATGTTTATTAAAATATATACAGCACAGAATTATTTCAGTTATTTAGCCAATTATAGTTTCACAAAAATAAAAATTTGATAAATTTATAATATTAAAAAATAATGTCATGTAGTAAACAAACTGTTTTCTTTGTAGAGAAAAGAAGTTAAATATTTTTAACAAATGAATTTTCATATTACAAAAAGAGACAATTCAAAAATAAAATATACATATTACAATTGAACTAAATAGCATCATTATAATCTAGCTTAGTGCGGTTTGCATAATTGAAAAGTCAAATGATAATGTTTAACACAGTAGAACCTTCAAATATCTGAGATTCTGCATTATCTGGGGTGAACATTTTGGGCCCAAAATGCATCTTTGACAAACTGATGGCAAAAAAAACTTCTAAAACAGTTCATAGCTTTACTCCTTGTGTGATTACATCCGAATAGTGTGCCACAATTTTTGCAAATAAGCCTCAACCTTGATAACATGTATTACAAAATGATTTGTTTCTGTTACCTTTTTTATCATTTAACTTCAACAAGAAACAAATCATTCATATTAAAATGTAACTACAATATTACACATTTTTATTCTTAAAACTATTCTACCTTTTAGCTGTATAATAAGTAATGTAAAAATTGTTCTTATATCCGATTTAAATTTACTAAAGTATAAAAAATGGTTAAAAGTACTACTATATAAATCTTTTATATTTGTAATTTTTAATCTGAAATGGCTGTGGGCTTCCATTTTATCTGCATTTTCAATATGAGATAGCATCAGTCTATATTATCACAGATAATCAAGGTTCTACTTTAGTTAAAAAACATATTTATAGTGACTTCTATAATATATTTCAATTGCCTGACGATAACTTAATTAATATCAATTAATGTAATAAAATGCCCTGTAAATAAAACTTTGTTACATTAGTTTTATCTTGTCATTCAACATATTTGTAATCTCAAAATCAGATAAAGACAAAGTTGCTTGTTTCAGATAACAAAAAAAAAAAAAAAA